TATGTGTACATCAAATACTTTTGCTTTGCTGCTTTGTGAACTACAAAATGTAAAAGGGAAGCCACCAGGAGGAAGTAGGATAACTTGCTTTTGCAGCTAGGGGATAAAAATCAAACTATAATCATATAATTTGTTGAATGTAAAGCTGATGATCTTGTCTATTAACCTTCACTCAATTCACAATGAAAAGTTAAAAAATAATTAATTACATTTAAAAATGCACTTCTATGCATTCAGAATTGAGGTTGGAGAAACTAAAGAAAAAAACCATAATCCTATGTCATTCTTTACATTAATAAGCTTTGCTTCTTTTATAGTTCTTCACAAAAAAACTGAAAGACCGATACATTTTTACTTCAGAATTATTTGTATCAACTGACAACTAACTACTCAAAACAAAAATTAGTCCTTTGTTCTTTCTTACAGAAGTCTCGTGAAAGGTTTCTAAATAAATGCTCTTAAAATTACAGTGAAAATTTGATTTGGCATGTTTAATTAGTGGATTAAAGTTTTACCTTTGGAATCCACTAATTATACTGAAGGGATCACAGTTGTTTCAAAGGGAAAGCAGTGATAATTAATATACAGCCAAGGCGCTCCGGTAGCGTGGTGGTTGTATATCGGTCTGTGAACCTCGAAGTCAGCAGTTCGAAACTACCAGCTGTTCTGCGGAGAAATATGAGGCTTTCTACTCTTGTAAAGATTTACAGTCTTGGAAACCCTGTACAGGATGGCTGTGAGTCTGAAACAATTCCACGGCACACCACCACCACCACCAAGACTTCATACTTTACTGATTTCTGACAATATTTTCTGTGTACAATCAAGAACACAATTTATATAATAAAGTCTATAACAAACACAAACAGAAATAGTAAAATATGTATCTCCCACCTGAACATCTTTATATTTGTCCCGTAAATCCAAGAGCCGGTGGTAAGCTTTAATGGCTTCTGAGAACTCCCCAACATCTGTGCTGGTGAGGATGTAGTTCTCCCAGATCTGCCAGTGTTCATAGTTACACTTGAGAGCTTCTTGTAAAGTTCTAAAAGCTTTCACTCTATTGAAGGTAAAAGTTTAAAGACAATATTAATCAAATAAATCAGAGTTAAATACATAAAATGTGAATGCAGACTGCCTAGCAGTCCTTAATCATTCATGCTAACTAGCAGAATTAGAAGACTGAACAACCTCGTAACACCTAAAACTGTTCTACAAAATTCAGTGACAGACCCTGTAGCAATATGTAGCCTACACAGAGGCACTCATTCTTTCCCCTAATCTACTTACTGGTAACAGAACATTATTTTATATCTGAGAATCATCCACAGTCTAAACCACTCTAAATAACCTCAAAATAGTTCCTCAAATTATCATTTACACACCGAAGACCCACCTGAAAGAGGGATGTCATCTGCATCTTCATTGAGGGCCCCCCGGCAAGAGCACCAAGGAGCCAGCCAGCCGTTTCCACAGCAGAGAAGACTTTAAGAACTGTTTAACCCTTAGAGAACTGGTTAAACCCCAGAGACATTCTGCTGCTTTGCTTGTCAGGCGTGGGGAATGGGGAGTTAATAGATGTTACTGATTTTGCAATCGTACATCAACCATCGTAGGTTTTATTGCCTGTTAAAGTTTTCAGAAGCTAGGCAAATCATTGCGGTGCCTGGCCCTTAAACGTGCCAAGTGTCTTTGCTCTCATGTCAAGAATCACTGCACTAATAGTAATTGTTAACTTTTTTTGCCCTGCCCACCATGTAAATCAACTGTCTAGGGATATTAGTCTCGCTCATATGATCCAAGAGTAAATAAATAAAGGTTTACAAAACAGACTAAATGCTTTAGAGAAAGGAAGATCGCTTAAGGGAAATAAGACCCAATAT